CACAACTACCTATGTACAAAGATAAGTCCTGAAGCATTATTTGTAGTGGTAGGAAGTTGGAGGCAACCTAGGTGTCCGTCACTGGAAGAATGGATAAATAAAATGTGGTGGATGCAAACCATGGAATTGTATGCAGCAGAAGAAGAGAAACAAAGATCAAGAGAACAAAGATTTTCTTTTCTTTGGAGGGGGGTAACAGGGATTGAACTCAGGGGTGCTTAACCACTGGGCCACATCTCCAGCTCTTTTCTGTATATTATTTAGAAATAGGATCTCACTGAGTTGCTCAAGGTCCTGCTAAGTCACTGAAGCTGGCTTTGAATTTGCAATTCTCCTGCCTCAGCCTCCCAAGGCATTGGGATTATAGGCGTGTGCATCATGCCCAGCCTAAGGTGCAAAGATTTTCCCAGGAACCCCACTATTACAGTTTGGATCTGGAATCCAACTGTAGGCTCACATATTGAAGGCTTGGTCCTTAGATGGGGGTGTTATTGGGAATTGGTGAAAACTATAGGAGGTAAGACGTAGCTGAAGATAGCGGGCCTTGTGGGCGTACTTTTCAAAACCATATTTTGCCCTGTACACATTAGTAGTCTCTCTTGCTCTGCCCCTGCCCCCTCCTCCCCAGCAGCTGAGGTGATCAGTTTTGCCCCACCATGGCCCTCCACCGTTATGCCCRGCCTCACCACAGGCCCAGAAACAATGGAGCCAACTGACAATGGACTGAAATCTCTGAAGCCATGAGCCAAAATAAATCATTTTTTTTCCTATAAGTTGATTTTCTCAGGTATTTTGTCATGGTAGTAGAAAGCTACTAGCATTTCATTGGTCAAAATTGTATTAYTTGTTCACACCTAACTAAAAGGTGACTAGAAAGAAGGGGAATTGGGAAATGTTTGACATCATCTACTACATACCATCTGACTTCTGCGTAGAGGCCCATAGTGGGCATTCACCACATTTTACTGAGGTGGCTTGAGGGGTAGAAGCTTTTTATTTTCCCGCTCCCTCAGCCTCTTCCTCTGGGATTATTTTTTATTTTATTTTTTCTACTTAATGCTTTTTATTAGTTCATTAGAGTTATACATAACATTAGGATTCATTTTGATATAATTACAAAAGCATGGAATATAATTTGCTCCAATTCTGTCCCAATGACTTCCCCTTTCCCTTCCCTCCTCCTTCCCCCTGTTCCCTTGCCTCTACTCTACTGATCTTTCTTCTATTTACTTAGAGGTGTTTTTTTTTAAATTTTTTTTTTATTAATGCATCATGAATATATGTAAAGGTGAAATTCACTGTGGTATACTCATGTATGTACATAGGAAAGATTTTTTGTTTGTTTTGGTACCAGGGATTGAACTCAGGGGTCCTTGACTACTGAGCCACATTCCAATCCCATTTTTGTATTTTATTTAGAGACAGGGTCTCATTGAGTTGCTTAGCACCTCACTTTTGCTGAGGCTGGCTTTGAACTCACCATCCTTCTGTCTCAGCCGCCCGAGCCACTGGGATTACAGGCGTGTGCCACTGAACCTGACCAAAGGAAAGCTTGATCAGATGTGTTCCACCATTCTTGCCTTTTGCCATCTGCCCCCATTATCCCTTTCCTCTGGTCCACTGAGCTCTCTTCTATTTACATGGCACCCTGTCACATCTTGAGGTGTATCAGCTATCTTGTGATTAAAAGGAAAAGTAAGAGCAAGCCATGACATCTAGTTGCTTAACACTAACAGCTTAGTATCCCTGAACATTTTTATCTTGCATGAAAAATAAGCCCCTATTTTTTCTTCTTTCTTTCTTTTTTTCCCCCTGGGCATGGGGATTCAATTAATTAGTTAATTAATCAATTAATGGTGTTAGAAAACTGGGGGTTGAGCATAGGAGGTTTCACCACTGCTACACCCCCAGCCCTTTTATTTTGAGATAGTCTCCCTTGTTTAGGGCCTCACTAAGTTGCTGAGGCTGACCTGGAACCTGTGATCCTCCTGCTTCAACCTCTGGAGCGGTGAGTAGCTGGGATCACAGGCACGAACCACCACACTCAGCTAAAACCCTATTGCTTAAGCCATGCATGTCAGAGTTCACTTGCAGACAAAAGAAATGAATCTGGCTAAGTTTAAGCAGAAAAGATTGGGAAAGCAAGCTCTGTGTAGGGAGCAACTTCTGGCTTTGAGAGTCACATGAGCCTGTGATGAGAAAACAACAGTCCCTACTACAGGAAGCTGATGAATCAGGAAGCTACTCACCAGAGCCCGCCTGCTGCTGTCATGATTTGTGACAGCAAAGCGGATGTCCCATGCTATGTTGCTCTGTTCCAAATTTATGTCTTGCAAAAGAGCAGAACCTAAACCACAGATTCCTTGTTCAAGAGAACCTGGAAAGTGCTGTTTTAGCTTTCTAGCTCCTSTAGTTTCGAAGAAACCCTAAAAGCAGCTTTGGATTGATGTTAAGCAATCAGCCCACTACAGACAGCTTTTGGTTCCTCACAACCAAACACACTCCTAACTGCTATGCTACACAGCAAGCAATAAGGATAGGTTTTTTGTTTGTTTATTTGTTTTTTGCATTACTGGGATTGAGCCTAGGCACCTACTCTACCACTGAGCTTCATCCCCAGGGCTTTTACATTTTATTTTGAGATAGGGTCTCACCAGGTTGCTGAAGCTAACCTTGAACTTGCGATCCTCCTGCTTCTGCCTCCCAATTAGCTGGGATTATAGGCATGGGTAAGAACAGATCTTAAAACAAGGTACTGAGTGAGACAAACAAAAAGAGGTCTGTAGCACCCATTCTTAATTTTAGTTAAAAACAGATACACAAATCCAAACTATTTTTTTCAAAACAAATGTATATTTTCTTGTTTTTTGGTAATGCAGATTGAACCGAGGAGCACTTTACCATCGAGCCATATCCCCGGCTCTTTTTAATTTTTGAGACAGGGTCTCACTAAATTGCTTAGGTTGACTTTGAACTTTCGATCCTCCTGCTTCAGACTCCTGGCTGGTAGGAATTACAGATATGCCACCACTACACTCAACTTTGTGTTTTGTTTTTTTTTGTTTTGTTTTGAGACAGGATCCTGCTAAATTGTGGAGTCTAGCTTGAACTTGTGATCCTCCTTCTTCAGCCTCCCAAGTCACTGGGATTACATGTTTTTGCCACACACCCTGCTGAAATGTACATTTTTAAGGATATATAAGTGCCAATTGGTAAGGGGAGGAGGAAAAATTGGAACCAGGACCAAGAATGAAAGGGAAACAAAGAAAAACAAAATAAGAAAGCAGTGAAAGTGATACAAACAGGGGGATATAATTGGCTCAATTTTCTACATCAGAGGTCTAATTCATTAAATTTAATATTAATTTAAATAATTTAACAACAGCCTATTATTGCATTAATAATTTAACTTAAAATTTCACATTTAATTTACCACATCAAAACTAATCCATTAAATTTAACACATCATAAATTCTATACTTCTTTTTTTCTTTTTGTGGTACCGAGGATTGAACCCAGGGTTCCTTAACCACTGAGCCACATCCTCAGCCCTTTTTTATATTTTATTTAGAGACAGGGTCTCACTAAGTTAGGGCCTTACTAAATTACTGAGGCTGGCTTTGAACTCTTTTTTTTTTTTTTTTAAAGAGAGAGGGAGAGAGAGAGAGAATTTTTTTTGCACAACATCTTTGTTTGTATGTGGTGCTGAGGATCGAACCTGGGCCGCAYGCATGCCAGGCGAGCGCGCTACCGCTGAGCCACATCCCCAGCCCTGGCTTTGAACTCTTGATCCTCCTGCCTCAGCCTCCTGAGCTACTGGGATTACAGGCTTGCACTACTGCCCCTGGCAAGTTCTATATTTTGCGTGTGTGGGGGGGGCGGTACTGGGGATTGAACATAGGGCACTGTAATACTGTTACATCCCCAGCCCTTTTTATTATTATTTTTTTTATTTTTGAATCAGGGTCTCACTGACCACTGAGGCTGGCCTCTAATTCACAATTCTGCCTCAGCCTCCAGAGTGGCTGGGATTACAGGAGTGCTCCATGATACCTGGCTATAATCTATACTTAACTGGACAATTCTTTATTCCTTGATTTCCCCAAAACCTAAAAAAAAAAAAAAGAAAGAAAGAAAGAAAGAAAGAAAGAAAGAAAGAAAGAAAGAAAGAAAGAAAGAAAGAAAGAAAATCCAGGTGACTTCTGAAGACCCCCACTCCAAGTGCTCCTCAGAGTCCAAACCCTATTTAATGGGATACCTTCACTCCAACACTCTCCTGCCACCACCCTCTCCCTAATCCTGCTCCATCAAAGGAGAGGGGACTTCAGGCCTAGACCCCACAACCCTTCCATCTTCAAAAGCTCTGTCTTGGAGGCATTCAGTTGGTGCAGAAGGCTGAAGGTGAGCGCATCTGGTCCGTGCCAGTCCTACTCTGGGCAGCCGCCCCCACCTCGCCCCAGGTAGGAGGAGCTGCCCTGGAGCGACTCGGCCTGGCAGGTTCTTGGGGCGGATCTTGGATGGCTAAGACAGAGCACCTGCCCCTCCAGGTCCCCAATCCCTTCCTAACCGGCTTGACCCAGCTCAGCCCTGAGGTGTTTGCAGCAGCTCTTTCTGAGAAAGTCCAGCCAGCCATCTGTTATCTGCATTGCTTCCTGGGGAGGGACAGTCCCTCCAGCCACTCCAGAGACCTAGGGTGAGTGTGCTCCTACGCATCTGGGAAGTGCTCCTGGGCCCCAGGCTGTGCCACAGCAGTGACAACCTCCTGAGGACCCTCAGAGCCCCAGGTAAGAGAAATAAAGACAGACCCCTGCCCTGAACCTCACGGACACCCTGTCCTCTGCTGGATCCCCAGCCGGCCCGGGCTTGTTCTTTGTCCTCCACCTGGTGAGTGGGTGAGACCCCTGCCAGGAGAAAGGCCTTCCCTGGGGAGAGGGTTGCAGCTGGGGGACCATCCCTCGGATTCAGGGAGACTCTGCTCTTCTCCCTTCTGCCATAGCTGCTGCCAACTGCATGAGGAAGGACCTGTCTTCTGGCCCCAGACTGGAGGAGGAGGATCTGCCATTGCCGGGGGAAGGTGGCCATGTCTGAGGCACCATCCTGTCCCAGCCAGGGCACCGCAACCCCAGGCTGCAAGTTGGGGGCCCTGTACCGGGCCTGTGTCCACAACGACCCCACCCAGCTCCAGGCCAAGCTGGATGTGGGGGTCTCCCCAGAGGAGGCCACTCAAGTGGACAGCAATGGGAGGGTGAGGAGCTCCAGGTGCTTGCCAGGGCAGCTGGGGGCAGGGGGCTTGGTATCCCCCCTCATCACCCTGGTCAGCCTCTGAGAGAGTTTCGGGGCAATCCCCACTGCCAGGAGGAAGAGGGTGGGTGAGGGTGGACTTCACAGGGTTTGGGACAGGCTCTGGACAGATGTGGGGGACAAGGGAGACCCTGAAGGAAAGCAGGGCTGAGCTGTCCTGCCCCCAGACAGGCCTCATGGTCGCCTGCTACCACGGCTTCTCGAGTGTCGTTGCCCTGCTCAGTCGCTGTCCTTTCCTCGATGTGAACCATCAGGACAAAGAAGGGAACACGGCCCTCATGCTGGCTGCCCAAGCAGGTGCGAGGCTGCAGACCCCCACCCATCACCAGCCATCAGGGCCACAGCCCACATTTGGTGCACAAGGTCCACGCCAGGCTTTGTGGTGTTTGGTGCAGGGTGGTTTGGGAATCTTGTCACCCCTTGCTTTGAAGCCAAGCTCCACCTCTGTGCCCTGCAGGCCACGCTTCTCTGGTGAGTCTCCTGCTCAACTACTACGCGGGCCTGGACCTAGAGCGCCGGGACCAGCGGGGGCTCACAGCACTGATGAAGGCTGCCATGCGGAACCGGTCGGAGTGTGTGGCTGCCCTCCTCATGGCAGGTGCAGGGGGCCTGGACTGGATACGTGACCTCCAGTCCCTCCCGAAGCCTCCCCACCAGACGCTAATTCAGCCGTCATTTAGTTGCAGAGAGGAGAGAGGTGGAGATGGAGGGTCAATCTAGGCCAACTTCCTRGAGGAGGGGAGCTTGCTGTGGGCTTCTCACAATGAACAACACCAAGCTATTGACAGCTCTGTTTATGGAGATCTCAGGAAGAAAAGCTTGGGAGAATAACCTAGACCAGCTGTAAAACCCCAAACCCCAAAGGGCTGGTATCTAGAACCACACTCTTGGGTTCTGGTCTTCACCCTGATGCTGACTAAGTGACTCAAGGCAGGTGGCCTTCCTTTCTGGACCTCACCATCATAAGGGTGCTGGCCTTGTCTAAAATGACCTGCAACTCTGGCAAGCCTGGCCCCCGGGAGACGCATGATGTGGCCGTTGAGGCTGGTGGCCAAGTGGAATTAGGCGGTGGCGAGCCCCTTGGGATTGTGGGCCCTTGTTGTTCCTGGAGGTGGGGCTGCCCTCTGCTGGTCACTCCGGGGATGCCCGCCTCCAGCTTTTCCCTTCCCTCACCCTGGCTTTGGGATGAGACAGGAGGGAGACCCACAGCCTCCTTTGTCTCAGAGTGACTGCTTCTCTCCCACCCCCAGGATGGAGGGGTGTGCTGATGAAGAAACAAACCAGGAGAGGGGACCAGCAGAACCTGACCCACATGCCTCCCCCAGAGGGCCTCTGCCTGGGCTGAGCAACTGTCTTCCACTCCTCAGCTCAGCCTCTTGGATTCCAGAGGTTGTTATTCAGCTCTGGGTCGAAGGCACCAATGGTTCTCAGAAGTCCTTCCCCTGTCTGGACTTCAGTCTCTTCATCTCTTTCGAACAAGAAGTAGCAATCGCAGGCTGGGACTCTCTGGTTTTGAATCTAACCCAAATCAATCCTGGGGCTCAAGCCTCTGCGCTTCTGCAAGTCACACCATTCCTTCTCCCACCCACTTGTCACTCTGTGCATCTTCCTAGGTGCTGACCTGACCTCTGTGGATCCTGTTCGGGGCAAGACTGCCCTGGAGTGGGCCTTGTTGACGGACAGCTTCGACACGGTGCAGAGGATCCGGCAGCTGCTGCAGAGGCCCCGAGTAGAGCAACTGAGCCAGCATTACCAGCTCGAGTGGCCGGCCTTGCCAGGGCTCGTGGCCCAGGCGCAAGCCCAGGCCCAGGTTGCTCCCTCCTTCCTAGAAAGATTGCAGTCCACCCTGAGCTTCTCCTTTGCCCAGTCTCCTCAGGAGGGGGGTGTTCTGGACCACCTTGTGACCATCACTACGGGCCTGGCCAGTCCCTTTCTCGCCACTGCCTGCCACACGCTGTGTCCTGACTACCCACCTGCACTCGGCACCCGAAGCAAGTCTGTGCCAGAACTGCTAGGTACTGCCCCCCCTCCTCCTCCAGTACCCCAGCCCCCCCAGGAAGTACCTGGCCCCAGGGTCTTTGTTCCCTACCAGAGCCCTCAGGGCATGTTCTCTCAGTGGCTGCAGCCCAGGAGTAGTACTAGCACTAGGTCCCAAGTTCCCAAGATCCTCCTCTCCAAGGCACCCTCAGCCCCTAGACAATTCAAGTTTATGTCCAAGTCTTCAGGGCGAAATAACCTGGTCCTTCCTCTCTGGCAATACCAGGAGCTCAGGTTGGAGAGGAAGAGGCAGGAGGAGGCAAGGTTGGCACAGGATCAGGGGAAGATGGGCTAGGCCAGGATAGGAGCAGGGAATTAGGCCTTTTTCTATGCTGCATTCTTGCCTAGAGATACTTCTGCCCCCCATCCACCTCCACCTAAGTCCTAAGTAAAATGTTTTCCGACCTATGTACAAAGTTGTTATAGCACTGTTTGTAATAGCAGAGTAGAACTAACCTAAGTGTCCATCAATAGGGGATTGGCTAACATTTTGGGGGTGGATTACTATATTCTGTGTAATGCATTACAAAGCTAGAGTAAGGAAGTTCTTTATGTCCTGATATTGAAACAAACTGAATTTGGCCCCATTCTGAATTGGGAACAACTTTCTCCTTCTGAGAATGGAGACTGAAGGGCTGCCTCCCTGCCCCCTCCTTGGCCTGACAGATGCTAAGAAGCTGAGAGGCAAGACAGCTCCCTCCCTGGTCCTGTGTAGCACAGGCTAACAAAATCTATATATGTACATTTCCTGCCTTTTGTCTCACTTCCCTACTGCTACTGCTTCTCCTTTAAAGCTCTGTTCACGTTCAGGGATTTCAAAGATGTAACTTATGCCACAATACGTTTCTTCTATCTTCCTTTAAAACTAGCTTTGAATAAAATCTATCTTCCTATCAATTTGATTCCAAATATTTCTGGAGCTAGTTTCTTCCTCCCTGGGCAGGACTGATGCCATCSGGTCACAACATAAAGCTGTCTTCAAGATGAATTAAAGTGATAATAAMTGAGAGGTGGAAAGGCATGGAGGTCATCCCACTATTTGTCAAAGTAAAATTTTCACCAATTTTATAAATATGACTAACTCGCATACCTGTAATCCCWGCAGCTTGGGAGGCTGAGACAGGAGGATTGTGGGTTCAGAGTCAGACTCAGCGAGGTGCTAAGCAACTCAGGGAGACCCTGTCTCTACATAAAATACAAAATAGGGCTGGGGATGTGGCTCAGTGGTAAAGTACCTCTGGATTGAATCCCCAGTACCAGATAAACAAACAAATATAGAGTACCAAGATGTAGTTAACAATTTAATAAGCCAACCAGCAGGATGGATCAAAGAAAGAAATGAAAGACCATTATTGACAATCAGTGGAAGAAAATATGCTGGAATAAGATTGTAAAATTAGGCCAGGCATAGTGGCACACCCGTGTAATCCCAACTGCATGGGAGGCTAAAGCAGGAGGATTGTGAGTTCCAGGTCAGCTCAGGCAATTTAGTAAGACCCAGTCTCAAAATAAAAAGGGCTGGAGATGTAGCTCAGTAGTAGAGTGACCCTTGGTTCAATCCCCAGWAMAAAAAAAAAAAAAAAAAAAAAAGCCCTTCAAATGAAGTTTATTAGCCAATGATCTGAAATGAAATACCTTTATGGGACACTTAGTAACTCAGGGGGGATTTGATTTGCAAACTTTGATTATTTCATTCTTAACACATTTGTTGCAGAAATATATTTGCTTGTATATTTATCATAATCCTAGCAATCATTTATAAGGGGCTTACTATATGCATTAACATATTTACCTCTCCCTACAATCTTAAGGATTCCAGTTTGGAGGATAGGAGGTACAGAGAAGTTAAATAATCGATCGAATCTCATAGCTGGAAGCCAGCAGAGATCAAGATTGAGACTGAGACCCACTGGCCCAGTTGTGGCCTCCACAAAGCTACCCCATATGCCCTCACTGGAAAAACTCTGGGAAGAAACACATTGTTTTCTCTGGGAAAGAACTGAACAGCTGCCCAAATGTGGGAGGGAAAATATTTATTGACTATCTTTTTTTTTTCTTTGTTTACTTTGTTTTGTTCTGGGTTTTKGGGGGGAACCGGAGGTACTGGGGATTGAACTCAGGGACACTCAACCACTGAGCCACATCCCAAGTCTTATTTTATATTTCATTTACAGACAGGGTCTCACTGAGTTGCTTAGCACCTTGCTTTTAGGCTGGCTTTGAACTTGTGATCCTCCTACCTCAGCCTCCTGAGCTGCTGGGATTGCAGGTGTGCATCACTGCTCCCAGCATCATTGACTATCTTTGAATTTTTTGATTTGAAAAAAAAAAACAGAACTGTATTTTTTAGGCCAGTTTTAGATTTACAAAGAAGTTGTAAAGATAGTGCACAGAGTCCCCTCGGTTTTCTCTTATTGATGTGAGTATAGTATATTTGTTGCAATGAACGTGCCAATATGAATACATTATCATTAACTGCAGTCCATATTTTATTCACACATTCTTAGTTCCTACCTAATGTCCCTGTTCTGTTCCAAGATCCTATCCAGGATGCCAGATGACATTTATGCATCACGTCTCCTTTGACTCCTTGGTTGCGGCAGTTTCTTAGATTTGCGTTGTGGCTGAGAATCTTGGCAGCTTTGAGTAGTACTGGTCAGGTATTTTGTGACAGTTCCTCAACTGGAACTTTTCTGTTGTTTTCTTGTGATTAAACTGGGGTTATGGGTTTTTAGGAGGAAGACCAAAGACAGAGGTCAAGTTTTCATCATGTCATGTCAAGAGCACTTCCTGTGAACATGACCTGTGACTGTGGGTGTTGATCACCTGGCCGAGGTACTATTAGCAGGTTTCTTCTGAAAAACGTATTCTTTTCTCCTGTTTCTATTCTGTACTCTTTGGAGGGAGGTCACTATAGGAAACCTACACTCAGAGAATGGGAGTTGCACTGCATCTCCTTGAGGATAGAGTATCAATGTAAATTATTTGGAAATCTTCTGCGTAGAGTATTTTKACTTTTTATTATAATTTTTTTTTTGGTACTGGGGATTGAACCAACCAAGATTGCTTAACCACTGAGCCATATCTTCAGCCTTTAAAATTTTTTTTTTTTTTTTGAGATAGTGTCTTGCTAAGTTACTTAGGGCCTTGCTAAGTTGCTGAGCCTGGCCTTGCACTTGTGATCTTCCTGCCTCAGCCTCCYGTATTTTGACCTTTAACCATGTATTACTATATTTAGAAAAAAATTTTAATCTGACTTTAACAGAAATACACACACACACGTGAAAATGACTAATACGGCAATATTTCTTCCAGGGGCTTTGATAGCAACTGTGGTGGGCCAGAATGAGCTCCAAGCTAACTTTACTATTTCCCACCTGACATTAAATTAGGCACTTATGTTTCTCTTGCTTCAGCTCTCCCATCCATTAAATGGAAAACACAGAGATGTTGGAAGAATATATTAGATAATATGGGGGAAAGGGTTCTGCAAACTGTAAAGTTTATCAAAAGAGGCCTTATTAGCTGGGCATGGTGGTTTATGCCTGTAATCCCATTGGCTCAGGAGGCTGAGGCAGGAAGATCACAAGTTCAAAACCAGCCTCAGCAACTTAGCCCTAAACAACTCAGTGAGACTCTATCTCTAAATAAAATACAAAAAAAAAAAAAAAAAAAAAAAAAAGGGCTGAGTGGTTGAGTGCCCAAGTTCAATCCTCAGTACCAAAAAAAAAAAAAAAAAAAAAAAGTGAGGGAGTTGTATGTAGGAAGGGCCCTGGGAATTGAGTGAGCTGCTTTGGGGCCTCTGGGATGGAATTTGTTCCTTCCCTCCCAGTGCTAAAATCACAGCACCTGAAGGCAGACCTGGCACTAGGTACCCCAGGCAGGGGAAGAATAGCACAGTGGTGAAACGTTTCTGCCTGTGACCCTTGCAAGTTATTAAACCTGTCTAAGCCTCACAACTCTCAAGTATAGAATGAAGGTAAGAGTGACATGCTCACATAGGRCTGTTGTGAGAAACAAAAGAGATAATGTAGCACTTACCATCGTGCCTGGCCTTGTTAATATCAGTTTTTTTTGTTTGTTTGTTTGTTTTTTGCATAGAAGTTGAACTGGGGCACTTAACCACTGAGCCACAGCCTCAGCCCTTTTAAACATATTTTACTTAGGGCTGGGGCTGTAGCTCAGTGGCAGAATGCTTGCCTGGCATGCGTGAGGCACTGGGTTTGATCCTCAGCACCAAATACAAATAAATAAAATAAAGTCATTATGTCCATCTACAACTACAAAAAGTTTTTAAAAATATATTTTATTTAGAGACAGGGTCTCACTGAGTTGCTTAGGGCCTCGCTAAGTTGCTGAGGCTGGCTTTGAACTTGCTATTCTCCTGCCTCAGCCTCCTGAGCCACTGGGATTATAGGTATGTACCACCATGCCTGGCCAATATCACTTTCTTATTTAATCTTTATCCTCTTTCTATTGTTCAGTTGAGGAAACTGAGGTTATGAGGGCTAAGTGATAGGCGCAATGTCTCCTGTTGGTAAGGAGCAATATTGTGCTCAGAGCTCAAGTCTCTGAGACTCCAAAGCCTATGTTCATTCCAATGCAGCACATGACCTCTGCCCACAGCTGAGCTTCCTCTGATTCTTTGAACCTCTCCCTCCTATCTCTCTCCTGCTCAAGGGTGACCCCAGCATCTACAGTACTCCCTCTGTTCCAACTGGGCTGTATCTGGGGTAGGAGGCAGCGGAGGGAGAAACCTTCCTACCTTGGTGAAGACCTGTCCTTCCAATCCCTGGCCATCTCCAGGACAACTGGAGTCCCAGGCTTTCCCTCCAACAATCCCTCAGGCCTACCCTATCTCTCTGATCCCCTAACAGCTCCTGACAGCTACCTCCAGTCCTTCCCAGAGCCCTTCAGGCTGATCAGAAGGGAGAGAAGACTCCAGGCCTGGACTTGCTCTGCCTGGACCTCCCAAAGCCTTTCCTCTGTTGTCCCAGTCCCCCCATCTCCATTCCAGCTCCTGTCCCTGTCAGCAGAAGCTGAGAAACCCATGACAAGGCCTGTAGCTGTGCAGAATGCAAGCCACAGGGAAATCTCCTGGCTACAGCCTTTGAAATGCAGGAGGCCTGGATTTCCATCCCGGCCCTGCCTCTCCCAGCCTCTGTTTTCTGGTTTATAACATCAAATGACGATCATAT